GTAGTAGACAAGGCGACGAAGAAGCGAAGAAATAGAAGAAGCCGAAGAAGCACAGAAGAAGAAGAATCCGCAGAAACAAAGAAGAAGAAAAATCAGAACTCGAAGAAGTCTAAGCAAAGAACAAGAGTCGAAGAAGAATATGCCTAAGGGTCAAAGAAGAAGAAAAAACAGAACTCGAAGAAGTCTAAGCAAAGAACAAGAGTCGAAGAAGAAGACGCCGAAGAGTTGGAGAAGAAGAAGCAGAAGAAAACAGAAGGTGAAACCGGAAAACCTCAAGAGAAGAACAAGCCGAAGAATACCCGAAGAAGAAGAAGCAACCAAAAAACAGAGAAGTAGAGGCAGAAGAAAACAGAAGAAGAAGCTGAAGAAACAGAGAAGAAGAAGAACCAGAATTTGAAGAAGTCTACGTGTAGAAGGAATTTCGAAGAAGAAGAAGCTGAAGGATTGAAGAAGAAGAAGTCTAAGCAAAGAACAAGAGTCGAAGAAGAAGATGCCAAAGAGTCGGAGAAGAAGAAGCAGAAGAAACCAGAAGATGAAACCGAAACACCACAAGAGAAGAACAAAACGAAGAGCACCCGAAGAAGAAGAAGAAACAGAAGAGACAGAGAAGTAGAAACAGAAGAAAACATAAGAAGAAGCCGAAGAAACAGAGAAGAAGAAGAACCAGAATTCGAAGAAGTCTACTAACGGTACGAAATTCAAAGAAGAAGAAGCCAAAGGATCGAAGATCAGAGAGCAGAAAGGTGAAAACAACACGTCCTTATGAGAAGTAAAGGGGGGGGGTTACAACATATATATACATATAACACGAAATACATATACACGCAATATCTAAACATACATATACATATATATATATATATATATATATATATGTACATAAGATAAATAAGTACTAAACATTTAAGCTAGGCACTAGCATAGCGAGCCGTCGCTGTTAAGTAGGACAAAGAAGAACAGGCGATAGGCCTACCAACAAAAGGCAGAGCATAACTGTCCACCTGTAAGCAAATTTAGTATAAAAGGAACAGCATCAGCAGTGATACGACACTTCTGTTTGTGCTGTCGTAGTTAGAGTATACGGTGTGTCGTGCAAACGCTGCCAATAGGAGTAGATAGAAGTATACGGCTGACGTGAAAACGCTGCCAGTACGATACGGTTAGGATATACGGCTGACGTGAAAACGCTGCCAATAGAGATATACGGCTGACGTGAAAACGCTGCCAGTACGATACGGTTAGGATATATGGTTAACGTGAAAAAGCTGCCAGTACGATATGGTTTAAGATTATACGGCTGACGTGAAAACACTGCCAGTTGAACATTTGGAAATAAAGCTACCTGTGTAACATAGAACTATTCGTGTTGTCCCTTTCTTACGCTTTTGGAAATCGAGATTATAGGAGAGACCCATAATCCGGCTGAGAGGTAGCCCAGCTATAACCGGGTACGTTACAATATGCAATTTTCTTTGCGATAAAATAAAAATAATACACATAGCATTAGTGAAAACTTGTTATAAATCACTACCAGCTGTTAACCAAAAGCGTTTATTTTTCCTTTTCGTCATAAATTAGAAAACGTTAGTGCATATAATTTTGTTAATAGAACCTGGTCATGCATATATGTAACCTAAGTTATAAGAGTTTTGCCATTTGAACGCTTATTTAACTATACAACTTTGGACTTATCATTGTTATTATTATTATTTAAATTAGTACCAATATTATTTAGATAATTATATGATGAACCACCGATAGTTTTTGATGACATTCCTAATGCGTCGGTTATTAATAAGATGTCAGTCGATTATGAATAAAAACAAGCTCTTTTCAATTCTTTCAATTCTTTTTCATAAATTTGTTTGTTTGTTTTTTTATTACTGTCACTGTTGGTGGCATTTAGCATCATGTGTTTTTTGTATGCTTCGGTTATAGATACGCAAAAGATTTCTAGTTCTTTGTATCAATTTCGAGGTTAGTGAATATATTGAAATATTGAATTCCGGTCTTACGCACTCGGCCAGTTCTCACTGACACTCTCTCATAAAACAATATATTCAGTTTGGCTGGGATGACTTATTTACATACACGTATGTATAGATTCAATCGATATAATTGTGCATATTCGTATCTAGTTCTCAATTTTTTTTTTTTTAAGCCATTGCCTAACATTGCATAGCTCTTGAGAGATTCATCTAGCGTTTGTTGATATGAGATGCAGATTTATTTGCCAGGTTGCAACTTATTTATATTTTATAACGAGCTTCTCTCAAGCAAACGTTAATGATTGAAAGGTACAAAGAACATTTTACCTCATAATAAGGTAAGACTTGAAATATTAAAAAAAAAAACCTCAAATGAATATGATACTAATACTTCAATATGAATAAAGCAAACAAAAGAAATACGGAAATGAATTATTACCAAATCAATTTGAATCATATCAACTATTCAATCAAATTATAACGGTATTCGTTAAACAAAAAGTTCATGGCAGTGGAGTGCAGTCATCGGCATAGAATTTGAATTTTGATATTAAGATTATTTTTTACAATAAAAGCTGATTTTTTATTCCTTTAATTTACTAGAAAGCTGTTACAGCCGAATGAGCTAAGCTATGTTACGATGACATTGAGGCGTTCAGGTTTGTACTCCTTTTCTCAATATCAATTCTTTGAATTCTTTTAGAAAACCTATCTTAAGAAGCGATTTTTTTAGGTTTGTTTTTCTGCTTTATAAAATAAAAAACGATCTCAGTCAACCAACTAACGGTTAACATATATAAGTTAAATCTGATATGAATTTAGAACATGATTATGTAATTCTGAATAAGACCATACTGATTCTTTTTAATTATTTATTTCGAATCGCCTTCTTGGATCAATGTTTATTAATATATTTTTATATGTGTGTAGAATACCAAGTTTCATACTATTTCATGCTTATTTGATGAATTTCTGATATGTGCTGCGGTGTTCCGATATTTCCAGTTACGATAAATGGTCGTTAAACAATAGCATTGGTTGAAATAGCTGAAAAACTGGGGCGCTATTCTGAGTACAAACAGCCAGACGCACATAGATCAACTCAACTCGTCATTCCGATCGTTTCGGTATACATTTTCATGGGCGTTTTTTTCTGGTTTAAATACTTCGGACCATTTATGTATATGAATAGTAAAATGATTTTTTGATTGCGGCGATTAGAGAATGTAAAATTAACGTGACCACAAAAATTCAGCATTAATGAATTTATGCTTACATACATATGATTCGTTTCAATATTTTTTAACCTTAATTACCGCCTAAATAAGGATGCGCTTTCCAGTTAGAGTTAGAAAAGCAACTATTCCCCAATTCGCTTCCCACTAGGGTTTTTTGGTGACCTTCACTTTAATTTCGAAGTGTACTGGCAATACCTGAAGAATCCTAGAGGTGTCCTTTATATTCCTGCTTGTTATGACTTTGTCAGTTCACTTGATATAAGACGTTTACGTTTTACGCTAGGTTTCAACACTAACCAAATAAGATTTTCCGATAACAGTCTAAATGAGAATATTTTGTTTCAACCGATATGATTGAAATTATTTATTAACGTGAAGTTTAAAGTTACCATGCCACAAAATGCCACCTATTGAACTATGTTTTTGTGCTGCCGCTTTATTAAAACCATTGATTAATATAAAAAAATCTATAAAACAACAAATTTTCTTTTATTTTTATACTCAATAAATTGAAACCCTTTATAAGCGAGCTAACTAATACCTCGTCCATAAATCATAATACAGAATACCAAACTCCTCGAGTAACTGAGTCGAAACGTTACCATAAATAAACTTTGTTAAGATTACAGACAGAAGGATCGGCATAAAAAACAGCTCCAATGTCTTTTAGCATATTATACTAACACAGTAGAGTATTTGCTATTCAGATTTTCACAATTGATCAAGCAAAAAAATCTTAGGTTTTTGTTCACAATCTTGCTACCACCTTTTGCGAATTCGCCTGGACTCATTTCCTGTGTTTTTCTGTAGAGTTGCCCATTAACTTCCTCATGGCTCGATCTTTTCTTTGGCAATCATTTTTTTGAGTAAGAAAACTTTAAGTTTGAAGACTGATTGGAGATTGGGGGGCAGATAGGTACTCTCTTAAGAGTCTTCGTTCAACGAACCCAAATTTTTTCTCTGTACCATAAAACTATCGCTTGCATTGTTTCTATCTTGACGGCTAGTGCATTGTACAATACATATTGTATATACATTGAGACCAGAAAGTGTCCGCATATCATTTTATTCGATTGCTTCCAAAACTCATGTTACCACTTCGTGGCAGTGAAAATTCGCAGGGGGAACTGAGGTCAATTGATTTCAACAGCTGCTGCAAGCAAACTGGTTGACAGATCGCGCTCATTTTTGGCATAGTAATTAAGGACAGTACTCCCAACCAACCAACTGAAAAATATTCAGCTCGAGTAGTATAAATGTCAATTTCCGGAAACTTTTTGGTCTTAATGTACATACAATACAATACGTACGACTATGTTTTAAAGAAGTTAGTGCTAAGAATTTTTTTAAATAATTTAAGTTTTAATTTTGTTCGATTTTCTATTTGATTATTTGGATATTATAATTAAGAAATATGTGTATATATTTTTTATGTGTACACAAATTAACATTAACACTATTTCATCTTTATTTTGTTGGCGTCGTATTATACCGTAATCCTAGTACGTAATTATGTGCTTTGTTGTTACTGCTACATCGATTTGTGTGCGCTCAATAGGTTTCGATCTCTCTAGTTTCCTTTATGGCGTTGTCCTTGACGTTATCGCTTATGAGTAGTGGCTCTCACGCATTACCGTGTTGCTCTGTAGAAGGATTTTTTTGTTGTTGAGGCTCCTGGTGTTGGTCTTGTAAAGCTGGATTGTGTGCTACTGAAGTCGGCGCCACTGTGTTAGTGGTTTGTTGGGCGGCCGTCAAAAAGTTGAGTGCTCGCGCGTCATTGTGCAGTAACAACGCTTGCTCCAGTCGCTGCTCTTGTAGAAGGATTTTTTTGTTGTTGAGGCTCCTGGTGTTGGTCTTGTAAAGCTGGATTGTGTGCTACTGAAGTCGGCGCCACTGTGTTAGTGGTTTGTTGGGCGGCCGTCAAAAAGTTGAGTGCTCGCGCGTCATTGTGCAGTCGCAGCGCTTGCTCCAGTCGCTGCTCTTGTAGACGTATCGCTTCGCTAAGGTCGGAAGTCAATTGTGATTGCTGTGAGGCAGCGGCTGGCGACTGTTGCGGATTCGGCTGGGGCAGACTTGTGGAGACAGTCAGCTTTTGTGTTTGTTGTGAAGTTGAATGTTGGAGGTGTTGCAGTGGTTGCTGCTGCTGAAGATGTCGATCGTTGTTGGGGAGTTGTTGTTGTTGCGTTTGATGCGCCTCTGCTTTAATCGGTATTGTGTTGCTGTTAACAGGGACGTCGCCATTGTCTCCGCTGCTATTATTGCCACTAGATATTACAGCGTGTGTACTAGCTCCGCCGGCGTCTCCCACGCCACTACCAATAACTCCGTTAGATGCCGCTACTGATGCGGCTAGCCGAAATGCGGCCTCAGTATGGGAGCGCAATATAGCTTCAGCATGCTGTTGCATACGCAACGCTGTTTCTGGTGAGTGCGGCTGTTGCGTTTGGTTCAAGTGAGGATGGTGGTGAGCGTGTGCAGGAGGATTTTGTAATGCTGCAGTCACCTGTTGTTGCACTTGATGGCTACTGCTGGCGCCTGACACCAAATGCGGACCATAATTTGCGTGCGCTGCTTGCAGCGTGTTGTTTGCCGTGTTGTGTTGCACATGTCCACTATGTGAGTGCTGATCAAGCTGCTGATGCATGCTACTTAAGGGATCTACCACACCTATGTTGGAGCGCATCATGGTGTCGCGCATTGCGGTCATTGTCACCACAGCATTTACAGCGGATGCATCTTGCTGAAGGCTGGACATAACGGTACCTGGCGAAGCAGTGCTCATGCGTAAGCCACTAGGTGTTAGTGCCGTTGATATCGACGTCTGACTAATTTCAGCGGTGGATCCCTGCTGTTGTTGCTGATGACGATGTGTGTGTAATTGCTGCTGGGGATTAGATGCATTACCAGTCATATCACCAGTATTACCTGCACCACTACCGTTGGCCACACTAACGGCTAAGGTTCCGCTGGAAACACCACTACCACTTTGTTGATGTTGGCCGGCTTGATTTATGCGCATGGCTGTTGCCAAATTTACAACTGCCGCCTGTACACTGGATCTGGTAGAGTCAACACAACCAATCGGTGATGTCATGCTCACGCCGGATACACCACCTGTATTGACACCGCCACTACTCACGCCTACTCCTCCAGCTGACGCGGCAACAGCAGCTGCTGCTGCTGATGCAGCAGCCATCAATGACATGCGATTCGCCACGTGAATATCAGTGTCTACACCGACCCCATACTGACTGGATAAATGAAGATTGCTGCTTGTCCGGCTGAGCAATTCATTCAGTTTATTATTGTTACAATTGTTGTTATTATTGTTGTTGTTATTATTGTTGCTATTACTGAGTAGATGAATGCTACTACCCTGGTCTGATGCGGCTGATGATGAGAGATGACCTGTTGAGGAGCATTCCGAGTTGGCTGATGGTGAAGGGCACAAAGAATTGGAACCACCACAAGTAACACCAACTAATGGTAACAGTCCGCTGCTACTATTAGCGCTAGCACCACTTGGACCACCACCAACAGCTGAAGCAGCCAATGTGGCGGCCAGTAAAGAGTCCCGCTCTCTCCTCTCTGCAGCGGCCCTTGACAAAACATACTGAGCGGCAAACTGGTGTTTTGGATCCATACGCATATGTTCCATATGTGTTAGAAGACCTGAAAGTGTTAAAAAGATACTCGTTGAAAATAGGCTTAGACGTAGTAATTCTCTTTTCGCTGCTGCTAATTTTTTTAAAAAGGAGCAAGTATGCAACAACTCTCTTTCAGCTGTATTGCTTCTTACCGTTTTCGTGTGTGAATACCGCTTGGCATACCGAACACGGCCACATGCGCAAACTATTGGTTAACTGTGCCGTCTCCGGATGACAGGCCAGGTGTTTTCGCAGAGAGCCCTCGTTTACATAATGCTTACCACAGACCGGACACGGATGGTTGGCAGTGCGGCGTTTGGCCAAATATTGGTCGTTAGATGACGATTGTATGCAGCTAGAACCAGAGTTATCAATGTAGGGACCTGTTGCAAAAGTAGACAATGTTATTGTATGGTTAACTTCTATCGTTACTTGAGAGAAAGGGGAAGATATTGGTCTAAAATAGTATATGCTTTTAGTGGCCTGTATCTCGCGTTCTGTAAGTGTGATTGGCTGGCTAGATGACGTTAGAATGATGATTTTTCTTTACTACAAAATCATTCCAGCCCTTTAAATCTCCAGGAATAAATGGTATCTTTCCAGCCGAACTAAAAAGATGAAGAGCCAACCACGTCAAACCTATGGACTTTCGACCCATTATTCTCCCCTCTTTCCTCTTAAAATTTTTCCTTGAAAGAATGTACGTTTGGTACCTTCTTCGATATCGAGGGACTATCAAAACATTCTATCAGTATTCGTAATAGGAGCTCTTCAAGAAATGGGTCTTCAACAGCTCAAAATGAATCTTATAGGGCCTCTTCTGAGAAACATGATAATTTTGGCAGAAATGGGCAGCACTAGCATTCCCAGACACAGTACAACAGGGTGGGTTTTATTGCCGTCGCATTGGTGTCTAACATCAAACACGCTGATTAGGAAACTATACCTCTCAAACTTTGACGACTTTGCCCTAACAGCGACGGGTCAAAATCTACATGAAGACATGAAGATCACCCTTTCTACGAAGTAAAATATCTCGGCATAATCTTAAAAAGCAAACTCAACTGCAGCCAGAGCCCCACATAAAGGTAAAGGAAAGCTATAAATGCACTTCACGATTACAAAATCTCTTCTTCTTCTTTATTGTCGTTGCCGCCGCTAAAGCAATTATAGCCGAATGAATTATAGCGCGCCATTCATCTCTTCTGCTACGCTTCTGCGCCATAAATTAGGACTGGTATGATGAGCGGCTTGTAGAGTTTGGTTTACGTTCGCCAAAAAAGGCCTTCACTTTACAATTGCCTGCCCAGTTCAAAGTAACACATGTTGGCAAGACTGATTGTGCGTTGGATTTTAAGACTGACGTTATATTGGTGTCAATGCTGGTTCCTAGAAAAACAAAATTATATACGACCTCTAAGTTATGACTGTCTACAGTGACGTGTGAACCAAGTCGCGAATGCGATGACTGTTTGTTTGATGACAGAAGATATTTCGTCCTGACCTCGTTCTCTACCAGTCCCATATCCTTCGCTTCCTTTTCCAGTGTGGAGAAAACAGAACTCACGGTGCGGTTGGTGTCATTAATGTCAATACTATCGACGTACCCCAGCAGCTAAGCACTCTTATAGAAGATTATATCTTCTCTATTCAGCTCTGGAGCTCTTATTATTTCCTCCAGCATCAAATTGAACAAGCCACACGATAAAAAGTCGTCTTGTCTAAACCTACGTTCGGTGTCGAACGACTCGGAGAGGTTCTTCCCGATCCCGACGGAAGCATACGTTTCACGGGGATACCAAATTCAGATATATCGGCGTAAAGGCAGTTCCTAGTTGTGCTGTCGAAGGTGGGTTCAAAATCGACGAATATGTGGTAATTGTCGATCCTCTTTTCACGGGTCTTTTGTAGGATTTTGCGCATGTTGAATATCTGGTCAACGGTTTACTTACCAGGTCTAAAGCCAGAGGGATAAGGGCCAATCAGTTTTCTGACGGTTAACTTTAGTCTGTTCACCCCTCCGAGTGTATTTTAGACATGAGACAACGCTCCTCATAAAAAACCATCAGCTGTGCGGAGGCGGCTTAATTTAAATTGTAGGTCCCTCAATTTGTTGAAAAAATAGCAAGACGCCAAGCCACAAATTGGAAGAGGAGCTCGGCCGAAAGAATCTCTTCAGCGGTAAAGCGCCAATTATATATGTATGTCAGGAAATGGATTTATGTTTTATGAATTATATGATTACAAGTTATTATGACAAAAAATTAAACATAAATGAAATATGATTCATGTAATTCGTCGCTTTTGTCTTAACGTCTTCACATCTGCGTCGTAACTCATGTCGTTTTATGCCTCTTCGCTCTCTTACCACCGACGTCGGTGCCATGGCAACGTGGTTGCCAGGTCTATCCCACAACTCGGCCATCCTATTGTACAATCATCTGGTGTTGTCGATACTTTGGTCGAAGTGCCATGGTTTCATAAATTCAGCACACGTTAATGTTTTGTTCGGTGCATCACCGTCAACTGAGTCTTTTATTACATGGTAGGTATCGTTACTTTGGTTTCAGTTTTAGGCCACCACCTAGTTGTGTACGCTTAATTGCAACTATATCATTAATTTTGCAGATAATTGCTGGCTTACGTCGTAGATTATTAGATTGTTTGTTCTCATCTTGCATCTTTAAAATTTCTTGCTTTGCTTGTTTACGCATCTCGTTGCGGTCGTCGTTGAATATTTTAGTTATTCCGTTGTTGGTTATCTCTTTTAATTTTATTAAATGGCTTCGTCTTGGTACTTCTGGAGTACGTTGAATTAATAATTTGTTGAACTTTGCTTACATGTTTATACCATTTGCTTAGATCGTCTATGGATAACTTCGATAAAACTGCTATAATTACTGTGTTGTGTATTTCAATATGTCCATTTGCTTTCGGAAGGCCTGTCGTATTCGTATGGTGAATAATATTTTCGTCGTCGCAATATCGCTTAAACTTTTCTAACGTGAAAGCAGAACCTCTGTCAGAGACAATCCTTACGGGGTTACCAAAGATCATACTCTGATTTTATAATACTGGCGTTACTTCTTTTTCTGATGTAGTTTTCGTCGTTTACAGCCAACAAAATTTAGTAAATCCATCAATTACTGCTGGTATGGGTTTATACTGTTTATGCGTTGATTCAAGCGGTCCCAAGAAATATATATGGTACGTCTATAATGGTTCTTCTTCTTTTTTAATCGGATAGAGTTCACCCCCTTGTCTACCTTGCTTACGATTCGATACAATGGATGGTTTGCAACAGCTAATGTATTTTCGAATCTTTTCGTCTAAATTTGGATTGTAGTGCTCTTTCTCCATTACCTCTTTTGATTTATTCACAGAAAAATGACTCTTCTCGTGAGCTTGCCTAATGGCTTCGCGCTGTAAAGTCACTGATATAACTAAAAGCTCGCTATCATTAACCAATTTGTATAATAAATTGCTCTTCATAATAATTGCTATGTGCTGCTTTTTCTGATAAAAAGACATTAAACGCTTTGAGTTTGTTATCTCTTGTGTGTGCGTATTTTATTTTACTATACACACTGTTGTCGCTAATCGTCATCAAGGGATATCTACTCAAGGCATCTGCATGTCGTATACGAGTTCCTGCTCTATGTTTGGTTTTATAATCTAACTCTTAAAAAAACATGATCCACCGCGCCACTCTAGTACTTAGGTCTTTCTTTTCCATTGTTTTGGCAAAAGCGTTACAGTCCGTAACAAGCTTAAACTGTTTGCCTAACAAGCGCACTCGAAATTTGCGGAATGCTTCAATAACTGGTAAGACTTCTAGCTGATAACTCGTGTATTTTCTTTCTGCTTCATCTTCTTACTCATGTAGTATACTGGATGAAACAGATTATGGTCAGGCGACTTTTTCAACAAGACCTCCCCAAAACTTTCTATAGAAACGTCATTATGCAATTCTGATTCATGTTGTTGGTTAAATATTTTCAAAACACGTTTTTTTGTGATCAATTGTTTTAATAAGCTAATCGCAGCTAATTCGTCATTTCTCATTGTATTTTTAACAACTTTCATAACAAGTCAGTTAGGGGTTTGGCAATTATCGAAAATTTTGGTATAAATTTCCGAAAATACCCCACCAGTCCCAAAAAACTTTTTAATTGCTTTTGATTATTGGGAACTATAAATTTTGTAACAGCTTGAGTCTTCCCTTCAGAAATACTTATTTTATGATTTTCAATGACATTTCCCAAAAAATCAATTTTTTTTTTCAAAAAACAACATTTCCTGAAATTTATTACTAACCCATAATCTTCGCATTGTTTAATTACTCGCTTTATGTTTATAATTGCTTCGTTTTCTGTTTTGCCTGGTATTATAATATCATCTACATACGATATCGCTATACCTTTACTTGCTAAATCTAGGAAAATAGCATTAATATGTCGTTGCAATACACTTAATGAATTTTTCAAACCAATTGGTACCCTTAAAAATTTATATTGCCCATTATGATTTATAAATGAGGTATATTTACGGCCTTATGCCAACATAAAAAAATTACCATTTTTCAAATCTATTGGGTTGCCCAAAAAGTAAATGCGGATTATTCATATAGTCGGCGTTGACAAATTTTTTCAACGGCTTGTGACTCTGTAATTGCATTCTTTCTTCTATCAGTTACCAGCTGTTATTTTAAGCTTGCTTTAGAAAAAAAGTGCGCGAAATTTTGTTTACATTTGTTTGTTTGGCGTCAATTTTAATATGGAGCCCACATAGGAGCATTTTCGTCATATTTTACTTTTTTATTTCCGTAAAGGAAAAACGCAGAGCAGGTTGCTAAAAAGTTACGAGATGTGTATGGTGATGAAGCCTTAAAAGGAAGACAGTGTCAAAATTGGTTTCGCAAATTCCGTTCTGGAGATTTTTCACGTTCAGGTCGGCCAAATGAAGTTGATGATGACCAAATCAAAGCATTAATCGAATTGGATCATCATGTAACTGAGCGTGAGATATGAGAGAAGTTAAATATACCAAAATCAACCGTTCATTATCACATAAAATGTCTTGGACTGGACTGACTTGAAAAAGTTCTATATTTGGGTACCACATGTATTGAAAGAAATTCATTTAACACACCGAATCAACGCTTGTGATATGCACCTTAAACGCAATGAATTCGATCCGTTTCTAAAACGAATCATAACTGGAGATGAAAAATGGATTGTTTACAACAACGTTAGTCGAAAACGATCAAGGTCCAAGCATAGTGAACCAGCTCAAACCACTTCAAAGGCTGATATCCACCAAAAGAAGGTTATGCTGTCTGTTTGGTGGGATTGGAAGGGTGTCGTATATTTTGAGCTGCTTC